TCTTGGAGGAGAGACAAAACGTTTCACTAAAGAGGAACCCGTCCAGAGGACCTACTTATTTTTTTTCTTTTTGAACTCACAAATTAGGACTTCCCAGTGGAACAAGTGTTTTACTGAATTCAAACAAACATTTGAACCTTTTAGTCTAAAACTCAGCCGATATGCTTCCCCCTGAATTTATACATTAATTAAGAACACGTCCAGGTTTTTTTACACACTGTGAATAAACTAATTTTGCTGCTTTGATTCAGTTTGTTTCTCAGTGAAACAGATTCACTCTGTAATGTTTAGCCACAGTTTGTTTTTTTATTTATAACTGGGCTTTGCTTTTTCTTTGCAGCATCCAGCTGGCCATGGACTCTGTGTGTCTCATGGAAAACTAAAGCAGTCCAACAGAACCATTAAGGTCTCAGACCAAAATGTTTCTTTCCCATTGGAGAGCCCAGAACAAACCAAGCTTCTCTTTGCACTGCTTAGGAATCAATGTGATGTGAAGATGTTTTATGAACACACTATGACGTTTTGAACTMGTTTTTTTGATTTTGCTGAGAATTGTTTGCACTTACCTGATGATGAGTTTTACTGTCGGTGTGAAGAGTTCCGCTGAATTATAACAGAATTCCTTTGAGTCTTATTCTGTGGTGTTGAATGTTAACCATGGGTGTTTGATTGGGATGTAAAGGATTTACTACTAGATAATGAATGTTTGTTGAGCCTAAAAAATTGTTGTAAAACAGAAAAGTGACAATAAAATTTGACATACCAACATGGATACCATCATCATGTTTGTTTTAAAGTATTACACATTTTAAATGGAGAATAGGCTTCAGGTGTGATACATTATTCTAATTTTGCCTCAGACATATAAACCCCAAACTTAGCCTTTATTTTGAAATGCTCTACACCTGGGRTGTCATATTAATTTTCACCGAGGACCACATAAGCAGCATGGTGCCAGTTTCGTGTTTAAATTTGACTAAACATGAAATGTCAAGTTCCTTGTCTCATTGCTACGACTGAACACAGCTAAAAAAAATTACCTGAACTCTTATGTGGTATTTCCTGCATATAAACAGTGTTTTAACACATCGTCTTATAACACTGAAAAAAACTACGTGTACGACAAAGTGTGAAATAATACAGAAACACTGTTAAAAGTGGCGGCATAGTGGCTCAGCTGGTAGAGCTTTTGCTGTTGTTTTTTGTCTTATTTGTCTCTTTGTGGCCCCTTGATGGACTTACGACTTGTACAGGGTGTCCCACAGCCCCTGCACAGGTCTCACTGGATTTGGGCACCATATAGCCAGCATGCATGGGTGGGCCTCACATGGGTTTAATGTGGGCTATTTGGGTCGTGAGTGGGTGGGCATGGGATTTATCTGGGCTAACTGTATGAGGCCCATATGGTTAAGCTAAAATGGTGCCCAAATAGTTAGCTCATTTGGGCTAAATATATACTATTCAATTCAATTTATTTATATAGCACCAAGTCACAACAACTGTTCTCTCAGGGCACTGTACACAAAAAAAAATCTAAAGTCAGGGGACTGCGCCAAACCTTTGCTTTGCCACAGTCTCCCATCCTGAGTAGCACACCGGCAGCAGCRAAGAGGAAAAACTCCCCATTAACAGGAAGAAACCTCCAGCAGAACCAGGCTCAGGACAGGCGGCCATCTGCCTCGACCGGCTGRGTTGGGATATAGAGACAGACAAACACAGAAGAACTGGTCCAGAGGCCTAGTGCACATTGAACTAGCCTTCAACTTGTAAACAGCTGTAATCAGTGTTGCACGAACACCAAGCTGCGCTCAGTCAGGGTGGTTCATTCAAGTCAGGTGTAAATAATCTGGGAATAATGCACGTTCACCGTTTGCTTTCTAGACCCACTGGGTGGATCAAAGATTTCCTGATCAGGCATGCCCAGTAAGACACGTAAGTCTCACTTCCTCCAGCAGTCCATCCATCCATCCATTTTCTGTACACGCTTCTTCCTTTTCAGGGTCGCGTGGGTCACTGGTGCCCATATCCAGCAGTCACAGTGCGAGGGGCGGGGTACACCCTGGACAGGTCGCAAGTCCATCACAGGGCCTCCTCCAGCAGTGTAAGGGTTAATTATGATTCATATGATGAGATGAAGAGAAACACCAACTGATGCTGAAATAATTTCAAAAGTAAGATTTTTGTGCCACTGAATCTGTTTGTAAGTTGTCTGAAATTAACTAAATGAACAAAATTAAAATCAACAGCTGATCGCTTATGGGAGGATTATCCTGATTTAACCCAAGAGCATACACAGTATTTTCAATTTGAGAGCAGGATAATATGTTTTCGCTCTCAAACTTTATGTATTTGCGCTCTCGCTCAGAATTTCTCCTCACGCTCAAACTTTCTCTCTGCACAAATCCAAACTTCGCTCTCAATGTGGAAGCCCATTTCCGCCACACTGATAAAAAAATAAATAAAACTTGTATCTCATAATTATGAGATACTATCTCAATTATGAGACAGCTAAGTCATAATTATGAGA